ATTCATGCACTCAGAAGAATGAATTCAATTTGTTCAAATACTGACACACTTTTTAGCGCATTTTCTCATTTATGGAAAAAATGCACTATTGTGCTCGCCATGTCCGTCTGTCTGTCTGTCCGTCCGTCCATCTGTCTGTCCGTGACCTCAAGTTTTCTTCGACGAGAAAATGCGCTCTCTGTCACTTACTGCAGTGAGTACTGAGTTATGTATATTTTTTACCCTCTTCATAAATAGAAATAGTAGACGTAGCACTGATACGTTTTTTTGCCGGGCCAAACTGGGTTAGGATGACCCAGTCAAGGACAAAAAGTGTATGGTTATTTGGACAAATTCTCACTCATTTCTCTGAATGAAAGACAAGAACAAAAGAAGCTTGTCTATTCAATGTGTTTAACAACTAAGCATCTAGGGCTGACTGGTAAGTTTTTATAAAACTTCAGCTTTATTATTTCATGGAAATGTCTGCGAAGGAATTAATATTTTTACATTGACGTATAGAGGAGCAGTGCATGGCTGATGTTTTTATTTCAGTTATAAATTTCGTCAAATCAAGATAGAGAAAGGTGAATATCCTTGATAATTATTCATTCACATTACCTGTAGCTTGAATACGACACTGGGTTACGATGAAAATTATTTTTAATAAAGAAGGATTGCTAGACTTCGGTCATTGGGTTCAGCGATGCCAGTTCACAGTGTAGCGTTTAACATTTTACGTCCGGCATTTAATTTACCTGCAAAAACTAACAAGCCTGGAATTACGTATAAATTTACGAAAAAATTGGCCGCATGATTTCGTTTTCAACTATCGGCAGAAAAATGCCTATACAATTTGAATTCGGGAGAAATCCAGAACTTGTTAACGAATAAATTTTACGTATTCTAGACGTAGGCATATAAGAAAAAAAAACAAATAATAATGACTGACGTCGACCTTCAGCACAAAAATGTGTCAAAAAATTCTTAAATTTTGTTAACAATGCGTTAAAGTCTACCATGAAATTTAATTTTTAGCAGCTAAATAATACAGCTACAACATTGTAAACTCACAGGAACTGGAAGAAACAGCACCATTATCAATGACAAAGAAAAATTCATCTAACGACACTCAGCTACCGAAATAATACAATAACTTTAACATTGAAGAAGGAGCCGACGTGAACGCAAGGGAGACTTTCACAAATTCTTACGGCGAAGTCGGCAAGATAAGAATGGCAATTATCTCGGACTTCTCAACTTATTTGCGATGCAAGATGATGAGAGCACCGGACTGCAAAGATGGTCGAGTTTATAAAGACCATCAAACCATCTACATCAGACCGGAGGCGGAGCGGTGACGAACGATATAAAAGAAGCAGTTTTTGTATAGAAGCATTCAAGTAAATTTACAGAGCTTCGCCCGGTAATGAGGCTCGGTAGTGAAGCTTGTCAAATTCGATAACTAAGTCTGTGTTCCATTCAACAGCAGCGGAAAATTAATGAAGGCGGTCGCGGGAAAACTGCTCTTTGAAATAAATTGTGTACATGGGTGATCCTATGTACTTATTAACACAAAAATATCTTGCAATTTTCTCTGAACTTAGACATTAATTAACTAATTCCTATAGAAGCGCAGATTAGTTATCTTGAATTATTATTGGATGCAAGGCTTATTTGCTGAAAGATATTGCATGAGCGGAATTTACGGGCCGAATTTGGTTGAATTTTGCGACCAACTTTACAATTATCATAGAAGGTGCGGCTAATCATAAATTTGCTCAAACCACGTCAATTTTAAGTACAAAAACTATTTGAGTTTTACATCTTCAACAAAAAAATCAGTTACTGAAATTTTCCACAACTGTGCTTAAGAGATCGAAAAATGCTCAAATTTTCACAAAAATGTATTCACATTGCCATTAAAATTAACGGAAGTAGTTAACTAGATTATCAAAATTACCTGCGAGATGGTAACAAATCGACAAATTATGGCAGCATTTACAAAATCTAACGAGCGGTAAAGACTGAATCGGATTTTAATTTGCCCCTGGGCGCAAAAAAGAGCTACTGGCCTAAATACTCTTCATAAAAGCAGCAAAAAATTCTTCGCGTGCCGCTAATTCTTTGGTTATTGTACGTCGTCTGCGAGCGCATGCAGCGCTTGCTTTTGTTGACAGCTTGTTGAGCTTTAATTTCTTTTCCCTCTTTTTAGCGCATTTTCTCATTTATGGAAAAAATGCACTATTGTGCTCGCCATGTCCGTCCGTCTGTCCGTGACTTCAAGTTTTCGTCGACGAGAAAATGCGCTCTCTGTCACTCACTGCAGTGAGTACTGAGTTATATTTTTTCCCCTTTCCCTTACCCTTACAATTTTATATATATTTACACCTCACATAAATATCTTAATTTGTTACTCCTACAGCTCATAACATTCAAGATTCGTAGCTCCCAAAATTTATTACCTTTACTGCTACCTCTCTTCAAAATTCGTTACCCTCACAGTTCGTTACCCTTACAGTACATTACCCTCACAATTCGTTACCCTCACAGTTCGTTACCCTAACAGTTCGTTACCCTCACAATTCGTTACCCTCACAGTTCGTTACCCTAACAGTTCGTTACCCTCACATCCTCACAGTTCGTTACCCTCACAGTTCGTTACCTTCACAGTTCTTTACCCTCACAGTTCTTTACCCTCACAGTTCGTTACCCTCACAGTTCGTTACCATCATAGCTGCCTTTTTCGTTTAATTGAACCAGTTTGCAATATCAGCCACAAATTTCGTGAAGAACAGTAAACTTGTAATTCATTCAACTCATTTTAGCTTATACACTCAATAGAATAAATATGATTTGAACAAAAATATGTGGAGTATCCATTTGAATCTATCGATATCGTGGCATCGTTCATTACTAATAGGTACGATGATCGAGGAATAAACTACCTATTGCAATAGAAAAAATTATCGTGTAATTAGAACTGGTTAGAAGAATTGACAGCCGATCTTGGTAAATTCTCTGAGAAACCGAAATTGAAATGTCGCTGTTGAACAGCTTTGCCTGTAATTGCTCTACGGTCATTGCAACGCAATTTTCAACACACATTAACAGTTTGATATTCAGCGATACAAAAGTTCCGAGACTTCTTCACGGCAATTAACTCATATATTTTAATTAAGCTTTGTACCATTTACCGTATGCTAATTTTACACCCAAAAATTTCCGGATTCGTAAATGAAAACTAAGCGTTTCTGGATTTTTTCGTTTTATCATCGTTACTAGCTGCCCATTATTTTCACTAGATCTTCAGAATTATTTCGGTAGCTTGTCATAAAATGGTGACATATAAGAACAGTAAACGAAGAAAAAACAGATGGCATCACTTGAGTTAATCAGATTTGGCTGTTGTTTACAAGCACTGATAAAACACTGTTGAAATTGATTGATTAAATGGTTAAATTATAACGACGCAATTAATAATGATAAAAGATACCAGTGTAATTTTGGCACCGAAATAACATCAGTTTTCTTCCCATCGTAGGAATTTCAATAGCTGCACAATGGATACAACATCAGGCAAGGTATAATAGTCCAGGGCTATGCATTGATTTCTAGGGTAAAATAGATCATAGAAAGCAGTTAGTAAATTGAAAACGAATGACTAATCTGTTGAACTTTTGATTATAATAGTAGTTTTTCAAAAACACTTGCTCTATCAGCCTCCCATATAGATAACTGATTTAGCCTACAGATGCATTCAGCTGATCTAGCACACTGATGACTTCAGCTGATCTAGCACACTGATGCATTCAGCTGATCTAGCACACTGATGCATTCAGCTGATCTAGCACACTGATGCATTCAGCTGATCTAGCACACTGATGCATTCAGCTGATCTAGCACACTGATGCATTAAAAAAAATGTTTGTTGATGAATAATGTCGTAATATGTAAAAGTTAATTATGAAAAGATAGGATGGTCGTTAAGATCACAAATTCTCTTAATAATTTACATTTCAAACAACTGTTTATTGAATGTAGTATTCGCTTGTTTCACATGCAATTGCTTCAGGTGCGAGTAAATTAGAAATTAAATGCTAGCATTAGCGATCAAATAATTTTACTTCTCCTTGCCAAATTTAGAAAAACACATATTGACTTTGGCCTCAAAATTATTACATTGACCGGAAGTTCTTCCATTATCGCAGTCCCAGGTTTAATTCTCGTAATTCTAGGGTTGAAAATAACATCAATTCATGTCCTAATCGACATTAAAAACCTTGAAATTAGCTGGCTCACGAATGTAGAACATTGGTTCTGCCGGGAACATTCAAATAAACGATGTGGCGTGTTACATCTCGAATAGTTCTAGGAACTACTATTCATTTGGAACATATGTTCGGAAACATTAAAAATAAGCTCATTTACTTCAGGCTAAAATTCAGACTTAGGTTATGAAATATAAAAGACAACTATCAAAATGCCACTTCGTGTAAGAGAAGTAAAATTTTGGCACACATGCACAATGAAAAGTTGATTTGAAACATGTGTACGTTTAACATCACTGGATAAATAGAAGAATTATGAATAAATTTCAATAGCAACTTGACTTTATTCGCACTGTTAACATGAAACTTCTTAATGTCACCACACTTATTACGTCACGTGGTCGTTTACAGCACAAAACAGTCACGATGTTCAACACTGTTAGCATTCAACGGTTCGGCACATCACAGACGAAATGCATACGAAAAAAATGAGTGCAGTGTGAAGCATTTTCATAAATCATTAAAGTTTTACGTGTTACACTGACTTTATGATAACAATAAGGCAGGAAGAGACACCATGTATGCTAAATACAGGCAAAAAAGAGTGCAATGTGAAGCATTTTAATAAATCATCAAATTTTTACGTGTTACACTGACTTCATGATAATAAGAAGACAAGTAGAGACACAATGTATAAAAAATACAGGCAAAAACACGTCGAATAAATTAAAGTATTAGGTGAATTCTTACCTGTGTATTGAAAAGTGAGTGATCTCTTCCAGGGTCCGATGAAGTGCCTGAATCTGGAGACGAATCCACTGTCAGGTTGAGGGAAGACTGATAATTTTTGCCAGGTCTGGCATATCTGTCGAAGGTATCTGAGGCGGCATATTCGGAACGCACAAGTGTGTGTTGTGGTTCATTGGGTCTGTAATAGTCATGGTAATATGGATCAGGCGCGGTGTATGAGGTTGTAGTACCTCGTATCACTGGGGAAGCTGTGGTAGTGTAAGACTGTGGAGGAGGACTGAGATACACATGTTCAAAACCCGACTGTGAAGCAGGTGCGGGTGGAAAATTAATAAACCCGGCACTCATTTTAGAATCGGATGAATCCAAAGGCTGCGAAGACACAATAGTGAAGGCGGCAGTCTGTGCCAGACGTGGCCTATCACCGCCTTCTTCTTTAATTTGTGCCTCTAGTTCTTGTTTAGTCGCTTGATCAAGCCTGGCTGTAGACCCTTCTATGACCGAGGGCTGCAGCAGCACCATACGTCGTCTGTCTACGATCAAGTGAGGAGAAGGACTGATAGACCTGCGGGTAAGGTCCTCAGGTTCGCGCTTGACACCACCATCGCTTGTCCCGCCCACCATGTATACATGGCCCAGAGTCCCTCCGCTTCCATTGGTCAGCTTCGAGTCCAGGACCGTAGCAACGCCTGGGCTCCTGGAAATGAGAAAAAATTCACCTGAGATCCTTGGCCAATCACCTGAGATTCCTAGCACGGAGAGGTGGAGCATAGCAACTCTACGGCATACATCTACACACATTGAAAATGAAAATGCAGTGTTTTAGTTTATATGCACTTAAATTTAATCACTTCAACTGGATACGTGCATGTATAAAATGAATTATTTATTTAAAATGAAAAACTACTTCTTCGGGAAGAATTTCTTTGCATTAATTTAGTTTATTGGTGCCGGTTTTAACCACAATTTGCACAAAAAATTGAATGCGGATGGTGTAAAGGGCACAAAGTCCACTGGTGTGGCGAGCCAGAAGCTAAACTGGTAGAAGATGTGCGCTTGTATTGCATGCCGGCTGACCCAGACTAGTCTCATCTTCTCTCCTAAAGCCTGTTCAGGTATTTTTTCGCTTCACTGCAGAACTAGAACTTGACGTTAGATGTACCGTACAGCTGAGGGGATAACCGGCTTAGTCCGAAACTAGTTTTGCTAGTACATAAGAGAACATTAAATTCTAGCCAAAACACGTGCCCAACTACTGTGATGGTTAATCACTCATTTGGAACAAAAGATTATTGAGCTTTCTTTAGATTTTCCTGAGATCTTAACACTGCGGTAGTTGTGCAAAATCCATTTTGTTAACAATATAAGATTTTTTTATGAGTTTTCAAAAAATGAAACGGGGTTGAAAAAAATCTTTCTGAGCGAAAACACCTGGAGTCTTGACTAGTTTTTCTTAAGGTTCAAGAACCACAACAGCTGCCCATTGAAAATTTTAAGGAGACTTCAACGCTCCATTGAAGTGATCAGAGCCGACGCTATGCAGGTGAACTGCACACTCAGAGAGATGAGGGAGACATTGTCCAAATTTAACTCGACAAATGGACCTACTTCTTACATGAACCTAAGAGGTTTTGCGAAAAAATACCGTTATTAAGGCCGTATAATAAAGTGGGTGTCATGCTTAGCCAAGTTGCAATATATCAACCGAATAATTTTCTTCACTATATTAATTAACGTTCTATTGTGGAAGCGTACCAAGCGATGCAATTTGTCCGTTTGTCGGAAGGTTCGAACCTGTATTACAATTAGCTTATAGATCCCGCAATGAGTTGTATTACGATCAATCGAACAAAAACTCGTCGCTATCTCCTGAACGTAAGAAATGTTTTGAAGATACTTTCATCATTAAGTAAAGAATTATGTCGAGTATTCGTATTAGGGAAATAGGTTCTTAAAAATCATCTAATTAGCCGTCTAAAGAATATGCGTGGAAATTTGGGACTCACCACTAAGAAAAATTATCGAGGCATAATGTTTAGAGAGTGACACACTATCTTACAAATAGCACGAGCAGAGAACAGATGAAGCCTTGATATATATACACCATTTTACAGGACCAAACCGAGTCAGGATGACCCACTCAAGAGCAAAAAATGCTTCGCTTTTTGGACAAACCTCACTGATTTTCATGAGTGTAACTTTTGAGTATTTCCACTACAGGGGAGCCTGTCCGTTTTATATGTGACATTAAAGGTAAAAAATTTATAACTATAAAAAATACAACATTCACCCTTGCTAAACAATGAATCTTATCTTAAGTAGACATGCTAAAATATATTTTAATAACAATATTAAAACCTAGATAGATATTAATTGACTTGATAGTTTAAGGGTAAATCAACATCAACAAACAGTGATTCTACTATGCCTTGCTTATTGTTTATTTATTGATGCAGTATATGCCATATTAAATATATAGACGTGCCAAAAACATAATGAAGATAGTGATAAAAAACATGATGGTGAACATGATGAAGAAAGTGATGATGAATATGATGAAGAAAGTTATGATGAAAGTGTTGATGAACAAGATGAAGAAAGTGATGATGAACATGATGAGGAACAGGATGGTGAACATGATGAAGAAAGTGATGATGAATATAATGAAGAAAGTGATGAGGAAAGTGATGATGAACACGATGAAGCAAGTGATGATGAACATTATGAAGAACACGATGAAGAAAGTGATAATGAACATGATGTAGATAGTGATTAAAAATATAATGAAAAACGTGATGAAGAATATGAAACTATTTTCTATCATCAATCATCCATCACTCACAGTTGACTTCAAGTAATCAGATGCTTGCTGCGATTCATCATGAGAACACGGCACAACACTGAATAAATTCATTAAGTTCTCATATTGCATTTTAGTTTTAGATTTGATAGATCCACTCAGTGCATTTTCTCATTTGTTGAAAAAATGCACTATTGTGCTCGCCATGTCCGTCCGTCCGTCTGTCTGTCTATCCGTGACCACGTTTTCGTCGACGAGAAAATGCGCTCTCTGTCACTCACTGCAGTGAGTACTGAGTTATATTTTTTTCAGAATGCACTTCTAGCAATGCCTTTTTTGCCCTTGCGTGGGTCATCCTGACTCAGTTTGGGTCGGCATAAGGGCGTATCAGTGTTACGTCCGCTCCCAGTTGGCGTGGGTAAAAAAGAGCGTTGCTATTTAGACAACAAGATCAACTGATTCCTCTGAGTGTTGACTGTACTGAGCCATGAGCAGCTAATGTGGTGCTTTCTTTTTATGTTGTTATCGCTTAGAGGCAAGTAATCTTTTTGTTATCGCTTAGGGGGGAACTAATCAGCACGGAATTTTAATGTTGGAAGCATCATTAACTTTCACCAAGTTAACGGTTAATGCTGAATAATGCGCGAATTATCGTGATAGGGCAGATGCCATGCTGTTCTGACCATTGGGCAAATAAATAGATTGGATACATAATAAAAGCGTGAGATAAAAGATAAGAGATAAAGCGAGAGACAATAATGTTTTAATGATGTGTTTCAAATTTGAACAAATTGCAAATTATTTTTTGCCTTAACTTATTTAACAAATAAATACCGCTTTTCAGAATGAAAATGGGAAACATTGATTTACAAATTACTTTTTTCAGAGCAAAAGCGTTTTGTTCACAACGACTAAAAATGTCCATTTTTGTAGCCCATTTATGATTTCAGAAGTAAGAATTATTCACATATCGGAACCTATAGCGACTCGGATCCAATCATCCTTGTAAAAACATACGTTAGAATTTTTATTTTTCGAAACTGGTGCGGAATTTCCACTTCCATAGGAAATCAAATAAAAAAAAGAACTATTATCATCTAATTTATATTGTGACGAATTTCCGGGCGGAGATCGTAAAATTCAGAAGGCTTTTAGCTGTATTCTCAACGAAAATACTATTTTACCGCATAAACGATACCGTGCAACATCTTTTACATCTTTTTTACATCTTTTACATTCTACCGAATTCTTATCGCCTCATTTCCGACATCGACGTAAAATTTTATACTCGCGTTGTCAGTTTACGACTCCAAAGTAAAGCTATTTTTGCAACATTCTTCTTCAAGAAAAGTACAAGAAAAAAACTCCAAGGGTATAAACCGGGATATTTTTTGCATCGTACAAGACTAGGATTCCGGTGCGCAGAGGCAGTAAAATTTTTTATCGAGCTCTAAAACGAGGATGATATTAATTTGCACTCCATGCTGCGTCGTTACGAGAATTGTTAACTATAATAACTGTGCATACTTCGTTATTCGAAATAATTACAACGCAGAATACAGGTTGATGTGAAATATAACATGAAAGCAATAATGAAACATGACATGAAACTGTCTCCAATTTGTTAAGGCGGGGAATGAATAGAGAAGAAAAAAAGGGCACATCGAATTACGATTATTATGAGAATTTGAATATATAGTTTATTTGATACAGTACGCTATTGCACTGCAATCATTAGCTAACTATTGTTCGGTTCTGGCAGAGAAAGCTGGCAGGAAAGGTTGGTGGTAGAAAAGGCTGTCCAAGAAGGCTAACAGGAAAGTTTGGCTGAAAAGGCTCTCAGAGAAAGCAGGTAGAGAAGGCAGGTAGAATAGGCTGGTAGAGAAGGCCAGTAGATAAGGCTGATAGAGAAGGCTGGTAGAGAAGGCTGGTAGAGAAGGCTGGTAGAGAAGGCTGGTAGAGAAGGCTGGTAGAGAAGGCTGGTAGAGAAGGCTGGTAGAGAAGGCAGGTAGAGAAGGCTGGTAGAGAAGGCTGGTTTGTAGAGAAGGCTGGTAGAGAAGGCCAGTAGAGACGGCTGGTAGAGAAGGCCAGTAGAGACGGCTGGCAGAGAAGGCCAGTAGAGAAGGCTGGCATAGAGAAGGCCAGTAGAGAAGGCTGACTAATGGCCCCAAGTTGCTGATTTCACGTCTGCTTTAATTGGACAGGGGCGGTATCTCGGGAACGCTAGGTGCCGGCGATTGCTGCAACAGCCCGCAAATTCCGGGAATTCTTGGAACAGAGATGACGCTCAAAAAACCTTCAAGTGACCGCATTCGGATAATAAAATTTGATTGCAATCTTGAGGGGACGAAAAAATTTTGGACTTCTTGAGGAACCAAAAAACTGAAAAATTCGTAGGCTGGCGTACGACGAAAACCTCAGAGTGAAGGAAACTTGCATTTTTTTCGCAAAAATTTAATGAAACGAACTAAAAGTATAGTGAAGTTCTTGAGGGGAAGAAAAAACTGAGGTTTTGAGGGAACGAAAAATAGAAAGAAAAAATTTTGTAGCTGGTGTATGTCAAAAACTTCTGGGTGATTTTTCCTAATTAAAAAAGAAAAACGACGAAAAATATGACTGGATATAATGTTTGCAGTCATGTTGATGAGATGCTTGGATAAATTATATTAATTTATCGATAAATTTGAAGAGACTATCAAAATTATACATATTTATATACACTGTTAGAATTGTCAGTTATAGCAACTTCACCAAAAAAGAAATTTTAATTTCATTTGCCTGTTAATGTTATCATTTCATCAAAACTTTCACCCATGGTATATCACCCATGTTATCTCACCCATGGCATCTCAACCATGGCACATCACCCATGTTATCTCACCCACGGTATCTCACCCAAAGGTATATCCCCAACACACCCATTACTCACCCATCATCATGACGATACGATGTCTCGTAGAGTATGGGTACGGTGACTGTTGTGTCATCCAGACCATGTATGTTGAGCATGGTGTTGGTAGCGGAAGTGAGCGGGGTATCATAATATGTTGCATGTGATGTCACAGGTGCAGTACGCCATGTGATGTTACCCATGTTGCTGATGCTAGTGAGTCCAGTAACGCTAACTATGTTGCTACCGTCGATGTTATGTTGATCGCTGGACGTTAATTCAACCAAAGCAGTTTCCTGGACATCACCAGCGCTACCACAACGTTGGTGTTGCTGGTGTGGTTGCTGTTGGTGATGGTCGTCAGGTGCAGGGGCAGAAATCAGCTGCACTTGCAGCTGGGAAGTGTTCAGGTGAGCCAGCTGATCAGGGCTGAGTATTTCTCCACCTGCTGTGGTCAGATGCAGCTGAGTGGACATGGTGGACTGGGGGCTGTCCATCTGGGTCTCGGTGTCCATAGGGGCCTCCACTTGGTGCAGCTGCAAATGAAATTAAAAATCATCAGTTAATTATGTCGTCAATTAACCCAATCATAAATTAAACTAATTATCAATCAACTAAATCATCAATTAACCAAATTATCAATTAATCCAATTATCAATTAACCTAATTTTCAATTAACCAAGTAATCAATTAATCCAATTATCAATTAACCCAATTATCAATTTACTACATTATCAATTAACCAAGTCACAAAAAAATTAAAAAAGCAGAAAACGTCCAACGAATTCATTATTCATCACAAACCAAGACGAAAACGCAAAGAAATGTCCCAGTAATTCATCCACACAATAATATTGTACCATTATTAAATTCTGGTAAAAATCTATCCAGCTGGAATCAAGGCAATAATCATTAATAAACTAAACATAACAATTCAGGGAAATGTCCCTAGAATTCATTTAAATAATGATGTATTGCCATGATTATGATATTCCAACATAATATATAAATAAAGTGCAGTCGTTCAACTTATCAATACATAACTATTGATTCCTAATACATTGATATAGATTAAAATATTTTTACTGTCATTGGCTGCATTAAATAGTTAAAATATCAATTAGAGAGAACAAAAAACTGCTGTTTTATTGAATATAGAATACACGGGTGTTTTTATTCAGATTTTTACAAAAACAAAAAATATGAGATGGCAAAAAAATATTTCAGATGACAAAATATGGGAATACAGCGTAAAAATACTGTAGTTTTCAAATTTCCCCTCCCCCCTCACCTGCAACCATATTCAAAAAATAACATGGGCTCAGTGGGGCAAAAAATATGTATATGTTGCGGTCCAGAGCTATGAACATAATATTCAACTTTCAACCCATTTCAACTCTGTCAAAAATAACGATAATTTTTGACCGCAAGTTGCGGAACTAAATTCACGAAGACGCAACAGAATAAAAAATACGTTACCAAAAGCAACATTTCGTTACTACGAAAAGCAACGATACGTTACTACGAAAAGCGACGATACGTTACTACGAAAAGCAACGATACGTTACTACGAAAAGCAACGAAACGTTACTACGAAAAGCGACGATATGTTACGAAAATGACGTGTCATCGTAGCCGCAATTTCGGTAACGGAACTTACGTAAGATCTGGTCACAGATACGCGCAACATCTGACATGCCTCTAAGTACCAAACCTGTTATGCACTCAGAATAATGGATGGGTCATCTTGTCCCAAAACTTGAAAGTTTCTACACTGTACTGATATGCCTCTTTTACAGCACTAATCTGGGTCTAGGTGACCCAGACAGGGCAATGAATGCATCGCTATTCTTACAAAGTTCCAGGTATTTCTCTGTGTGAACACGGGAGTTATTTTCGAAAAGAAAGTAAAATGCCAAAATCCTGCTCATTTGTAGTTGTTAATTACACTGCTATGTTATGGTAGTGGTTATATATTTAACAATAATCACGCAGCATAAAAAACTTCATAAGAAAATCCGTTGAACGGCTCCGAGAAATGGTTAATTTAAAGTCCAGGTAATTTAGGAACGAGTTTTGCAATGACTTGCCTTGCCGGCATCATTAGAGAGTAGTTATCCTCAGGTACTTCGGGGCAGCGAACTGACCTACATACAAGTTATTACTTTAAACTCGAACAAAATAATACAAGTAACTATACATGCATAGCTTAAAATCTTGTTATATTGTATAAACATAAACCAAGCGTGAGGCTGGTGGAAAAGAATATCTTATGATTTCAAAAACTCAAAGAAAGTTCGAAGAGAAAAAAAACGAAAGTTCTTCCGGCAGATCAACATGAATTTAATGCTAAATCAGCGGCAAACCTGACCAAAGTGACCCACACAGGGCAAAAAATGTATCGCTATTTGTACCAAGTTTCACTCATTTTTCTCCGTGCCGAACATGAGCGGGAAGGGTGTACGACGCGGTTAAGATCATCACGATAGTCCGAGATTTCCTATAAATCGTAGATTTTTTCTCTAGTTTCGCAAGACCGCGTGTAAGGCGATCTGGCTGCCTTACGTTGACCGTTATTTCCTGGAAATAACCAACCAACTCAAGCACAGACCGATTTTTTCATAAGAAAATTGGTAACAATTTCGGTGAGATTGTGGCTAGGGTCAACGGCCGTCTCTGCTACACGCAACGTCTGGCCAGCGGCAAATAGGGGCTAATACACCATATTGATAATAGGCAAATAGGGCTTATACACCATATTGTTAATAGGCCAATAGGGCTTATACACCATATTGTTAATAGGCCAATAGGGCTTATACACCATATTGTTAATAGGCAAATAGAGCTTATACACCATATTGATAGTAGGTAAATAGGGCTTATACACTATATTGTTAATGGGCAAATAGGGATCATACACCATATTGAAAATTGTCAAATAGAGCTTATACACCATATTGATAATAGGCGAATAAGGCTTATACACCATATTGATAATAGGCAAATAGGGCTTATACACCATATTGAAAATAGGCAAATAGGGCTTATACACCATATTGAAAATTGGAAAATAGGGCTTATACACCAATTGATAATAGGTGAATAGGGCTTATACACCATATTGATAATAGACAAATAGGGCTTATGCACCATATTGATAACGGGCAAATAGGGCCTATACACCATATTGTTAATAGGCAAATAGGGATAGCACACGTTATTTAATAGAGAGGCAAGGACTCGCAGAAATTATTTCTATACAAAAAAGTATGAAGCAAAAGTCCATTCATCTATCTAGACGAATGAGCCATATAGGCACGGTTCGTGTTAAGACATTAATTTTTATACTTCAATAGTTAAAATAAAATCTAAATGTTCATTCCCACTGCGAATGCTAAAATAGTAACAGATGAATTCATAATTGTGCCATAAAAAGCTTAGTTTTGAGGGTTAGGCACCATGAAACTTTTTTAACCACGTCTGAATTTTACAGCATATCTCACAAACAATATTATTGACGTGCAAATCTGTGAGAATAAATTAGGTTCTTCAAAGCAGAAAGAGTGAACTTTAATTCATCACATGTGCTGGATACGCTAAATGAGAGATGAAAATGAATATGGAATTTTCAAATGCATTTGAATTCTGTAACAATAAATTAAGTTCTTCAAAGCAGACCGAGTGAACTTTAATTCATCACATGTACTGGATACACTAAATGAAAGATGAAAATGAATATGGAATTTCCAAATGCATTTAAATTGGACTAGCTTGACAGCGCAAAAAATTAGGCCCCGCAGACGTTCGTGTGATGGATTATATATTGCGAAGCACGAATTATCTGAGCCGCGGAGACTACACGCAGTTACACGCAGCAGGAGATTTACACGCAGCAGTATTTACACGCAGGTACACGCAGCAGTGTTTACACGCAGCAGGATATTTACACGTAGCAGGATATTTACACGCAGCAGAAGATTTCCACGCAGTTACACGCAGCAAGACATTTACACGCAGCATGAGATTTACACGCAGGCACACGCAGCAGGAGATTTACACGCAGCAGGAGATTTACACGCAGCATGAGATTTACACTCAGGTACACGCAGCAGGAGATTTACACGCAGGTACACGCAGTAGGGAATTTACATGCAGCTTATCCATTGACGAACAGTAGGCTCGAGATTTTTTTGCCTCCACATACGAACATGTCTCTACCTACGAACGAAATTTTCTGATCATTTAGATGCTATATATATTTTATCAAATTGTGTTGATACACATTAAATACCAATATTGTTTCCATGCACGAACATTTCCTCATACGAACCCAGTCACGGAACGAGTTAAGCGAATATAATTTTACCCCAACTATAGCGAGTCCGTCGCAGAGTCTCTACCGTACCTTAATTTTTGTTGGGGTTCGTTACCTTAATTTTTGTTGGGGTTCGTAGGTCGAGGTATCACAATTGTCACTAGTGGTTATAGTGTAATCGCCGCCCCTACTTCAGCGACAGCTGCACCAAACGAACATTAACCGTGCACCATGAGTACGGTTAAAGTACGTGAGCTTGGTAGTTTTAACACTTTTTTTTGATAATGGAAGCACTAATCAAATAGTGGATTACAGTAAAACAGGAAAAAGTATGAAAGAAAACATGAAGCTAGAGAACGGCTCGTAGTGACTAACTGGTGATTGCAAAGTTAGGTTATATTGGATTGAGATCAACCATTAATAGCTTAAATATATATATATAAGAACTGGCTGCGAACTTATGAATACTTAAAATGATTTATTTAAATAAGAAGTGCTCCGGAAATATCAAGCTCATGTCGGTCACTTCTATACTCTATCAAACGACGCAAGCAGAACTAAAAAATTTGGCTTTCTCTAGCCAGACTAAAAAAGAACTCAGAACCTGCAGAAAAGTAACCTGAATTCGTGGGCAATCAGCAGCAAGCGAAGCAGAAACCCCGACCGTACACATAAAATTATCGTACTTAACACAATAAAAAACTGGCATCAACTGCGGTCACTTAGCGATCTGAGGGATCGGCTGGGAACGAACATTTCAAAAGAGAAGATGGACTTTGCGCGCCGTTTTTGCTAACTTAATTATGATCTTTAGGGGTAAACAAGAAATATCAATACGGTACCATAATAATATATTAATAATGATATAATAATAATAATAATAATAATGATAGTAATAAAATAATAATAATAATAATAATAATAATAATAATAATAATAATAATAATAATATTATTAGACAGGGTAACAAAATGAAATCATGTGTAACCATGATTAAACAATGTCAAAGAGCCAAATAAGGGATCATAACAAGTCAAATAAGCATTAAAATAAATAAATAGGTAAATAAATAAATAAAGTGGATTCGTTAAAGCTTTATCATTCAAAAGAAGCAAATATTAAATGAATCGAGCCTGACAGACAAACTCAAAATGAAAGGTTAAATAATTCATAGTTTAGTTTAATGATACGGTAATGAAAAGTTCTCCAGTATAGACGAAACATCAACATATATGACGCCTATTAAAAAATTATTAATGGGAACGATATTAAAATA